TGTGTAGCCAGCAGCCAGCGTAAGCACCCTCAAGCCGGCGACTGATCTGCCTTGCCTGGGAAGAGCGGAATGATGGTGCCAACTTGGGCCAGTGAAGCAAAGTCCTCCACAACTAGACTGAAGAACAAAACATCAGCAACTTGTCTGTTCCCTTCCCCCAATTCCCCAGCACTGTTCCCATCCCCTCAATTCCCCAATAAAAATCTTTTAAAAAAAATGAATAACAATTTTAATATATTTGCTTTAATCAACATGAAGCCAAATGCCACAAGCATTTGATCAACACACATCACAGCTTAAAAGGATGCTGCTGATAATGTTAAACATTAATATAATTTTAAACATTAGGATAAAACATTAGCATAACTTTAGATGGTCATTTCAATTATTTTTAGTATGGAAAGTTTGTGAAATATTATATTGTCTTCCCATAAGACAATGAACAAAACAAAGAAATGGATATAAAGGGTAATATGACCTTTGATTTTCTTCTTGCCTCCACATGTCTTCCTGATTTTATTTCAATGAAGTATTTAAGATGACTATATCTTAAAACCAAGATTGGTTTGTGAAATCTTAAGCTTACTCTGGGAAGTTTAAGATGGGACCAAGACAAGCATAGATCTCTGGTCATGCCTTTCTGAGTTTAGAAATTTCTGGGGAATCTATGGATCTCTGTGAGATTAGGAAAATGTAATTTTTTTTGGGGGGGGGATCTCTGCCAACTCTGAGGATATCCCAGCAAATAAAGTCCAAAGGCTATCATTCTGGAAAACTCAAATAATCTAACAGAACCTATAACTGTCCCACAATCCAATTTGGTGCTATTTGATGAATACTAAGCAATGTTCATTCCCATTGTCTGCCTTACCCCAGCTGCTTCTTCATCAGCCCCATAGTTAGTGTTGTCCACGATAGGTTCCTTCTCTCTAATCCATGCTTCTGCCTCATGCAGGTCAGCCAGGTACTGCTGAAACTGGACAGTGGCCTCAAGATCATTTTGCCGTCTAGCAGCTCGAGCCTGGAGAGACTCCATGTTTTTATTCAAACTCTTGACCCTAGAGGCCACATCTTCTGCAGCAAAGTGTCCTATGGAGTAGTTATATAAAAGATGAGCGTTAGCCTCATTAATATTCACTACGCTTCAATCCTTTTGATGACCTGTGGAGAGAGAAGCGCAAGAAGGATGCTGCATGTAGTCAACATGACATTTTACCTAAACTCCTGGGAACTAGAACGCTGTGAGATTAAGCATCAATAGATGCTAATGGGGGATAAGAGTGTCTGTGTGGTGGTTAATTGGGTAATATGTTCTATGTTATACAGACATGGAAACAAAATACCTATGTGCAGGTATTGCTCAGAGTTCCAAAAACATTATTCTCTAGACCAGGGGTGTCAAACTGGCGGCCCGCAGGCTGCATGCGGCCCTCGAGGTAATTTTTTGTGGCCCGCGATGCTCTGAAATAAAATGAAAATAGAAAAAAATTTTATGAAGAAAATAGCGCTTAGGGGAGATCGAGGCAATACCGTACACACAATTGCCTCCTTAGCCCTTTAACTACTGAAGACGAGTATACACGTGGCCCAGTGCCTATCCTGGGGGCCTATGCGCATGTATAAACGCGCTGACTCAGTTCCTGCGACTTTGGAAGCAATATGTCTGCCACTCTCAGTGTCACGTAATGTAAACAGATCCCAATAGCGAGAAGGTTAAAAAGAGCACT